TGCTCTCAAGCCAGGTGTCACCCATCTTGTATTTGTGCCTCTCATTTTTTTGCCCAAGTGCAATACTTTACATTTCTCCTGTTAAAATTCATCTTGTTTGTTTTGGCCCAGTTCTCTAATCTGTCAAGGTTGTTTTGAAGTGTGATCCTGTCCTCTGGGGTGTTAGCCACCCCTCCCAGTTTGGTGTCATCTGCAAATTTGATCAGGATGCCCTTGAGTCCATCATCCAAGTCGTTGATAAAGATGTTGAATAAGACCGGCCCCAAGACAGAACCCTGTGGCACCCCACTAGTCACTCTTCTCCAGGATGAAGAGGAACCATTGATGAGCACCCTTTGGGTTCGGTCAGTCAGCCAGTTACAAATCCACTGAGTGGTAGCATAATCAAGACCGCATTTTACCAGCTTCTTTACAAGAATATCATGAGGCACCTTGTCAAATGCCTTGCTGAAATCAAGGTAGGCTACATCCACTGCATTCCCTTCATCTACCAGGCTTGTAATTCTGTCAAAAACGAGATCAGGTTAGTCTGACATGACTTATTTTTCAGAAATCCATGCTGACTATTGGTGATCACAGCATTCCTTTCTAGGTGCTCACAGACTGTTTGCTTAATGATCTGCTCCAGAATCTTCCCTGGTATTGATGTCAGACTGACTGGGCGGTAATTATTTGGGTCCTCTCTTTTCCTCTTTTTGAAAATAGGGACAACATTTGCCCTCCTCCAGTCTGCCGGGACTTCGCCTGTACTCCAGGAATTCTCAAAGATGACTGCCAGTGGTTCTGAGATCACATCTGCCAGTTCTTTTAATACTCTTGGATGCAGTTCATCTGGCCCTGGAGACTTGAATATATCTAGACTAGCCAAGTATTCTTGTACTATCTCCTTAGTTATTCTGGGCTGTGTTTCCTCTGCTGAATCATTTGTTCCAAATTCTTCAGGTCGGGCATTGTTTTCTTTATCGGAGAAGACTGAGGCAAAGAAGGCATTGAGGAGTTCAGCCCTTTCTGTGTCCCCTGTTTGCATTTCACCATCTTCTCCTCTGAGTGACCTCACTGTTTCTTTGTTCTTCCTTTTGCTACGAACATACCCATAAAAGCCTTTTTTGTTGCTTTTAACCTCTTCATTCTGTGCTTTAGCTTTTCTGACTTCTGTTTGCTCCATTTGGTCTATGACATTTGGATGATCATCTTCATCAATTGATAGACTCCTACCTTCAGGAGCACTGTCTCCCTCCCCCACATTAGTCAGTTTAAAGCCCTCCTGATGAGGTTTCTGAGATTTTTGGCAAAAACATTCCTCCCAACCGTTGTGAGGTGCAGCCCATCGCTTGCCAGAAGTCCATCTTCAAGAAACTGCAGTCCGTGATCTAAGAATCCAAACCGTTTCTGTTTACACCATTTGCGAAGCCAGCTGTTCACTTCCACTATTTTCCCCTCTCTCCCTGGGCCACGTCGTTCAAGTGGGAGGGCAGATGAGATGACAATTTGTGCATTTAATTGCTTCAATTTCCTGCCCAGAGCCTCGTAGTCTCTTTTGATCTTCTGGAGGCTATTGCTTGCAGTGTCATTGGTTCCCACATGAACCAAGAGGAAGGGGTATTTGTCAGTGGGTTTTATGATTCCTTGCAGTCGTTCAGTTACATCTTGGATCTTAGCCCCGGGGAGACAGCACACTTCCCAAGACATCTTGTCAGGCCCACAGATCACTGCTTTTGTTCCCCTCAGTAGGGAATCCCCTATTACCACTACACGCCTCCTCTTAGGTTTGGTCTGGGTTCTTCCATGAGCTGTCCGTTCCAAGGTCGCCTGCACATTCCCTGAGGACTGACTTTGCTGCTCATCTTCATATACCTGATCGACTGTAATGAGGGAGAGATCCTCAAATGGAGTCTGCTCTTCATCTTCCATGCTAGGGGAGAGGACCTCAAAGCCTGAGGTACCACTTTAGCTAATGGGGCCTCCCGCTGCTGTCGCCGCACGATTTCTGTTCTCATCCTGAGGTAAAGTTCTTAACCTGAGGTACTACTTCCGCGTTAGCGGACTCTGTAAGCCGAAGTGTTTGCAACCCAAGGTGTTTTATAACTCGAGGTACCACTGTACTTGAATTCCATAAATTATGGCCTTTGTCGGTTCCTCAGTCTATTACTTTGAGCACTTATCCTAGCTTAACCGCACTCTGTTATTCCCATTGTTGTCCATTTTGGGCAGCTACTCTCTTCACTGCTGCTAGAAGTCTGTTAAGTTCCCTCTCCTTTCAGAAGAGTCAAATGGAATGTTAAATTTTACACTATGATAAACAAAGCTCTTGCGTAATTAGATACAATGGCACGATTGTGTCACAGCTATTGGACGCAAGGAAGCAAAAGCTATTTCAGGAATGGCCACAGACAGCACGTTTACAAAAGCTAACCATGGTACCCAAGAACATGCTGGAATGCACTGCCATCTGTCCCATAGTAAGCATTCATAATTCTGCTGCCTATGTTAAACTGGGCTATAGTAGCTAGTTTAGGGAGCATTCCTATGGAAGCTAGTGTGAATCATAAGTTAAGCCAGCTTAATGTTACAGCAGACTCAGTTCATCAGTGGGGCTGCAGCTACCTGGCAGAAGGAAAGCAAGCCTTTAAAAAAACAGTGTTGGGTGCCAGATTATGTGACCAAGCTGAAGAAGTTTAGGATCCAGCCTAAGTCCTCCCTTTCTAGTCCTAGTCCCACCATAGCCCAGGAATGCCTTTCACCAGTCTCAGCTCATTCAGCTGAACTGGGATGAGCAAGTTACGCCAATGTATCTTTGGCTTAGCTGGGGTGGGGGACTTAATGCCAGCTGAACTGGGAATCAGCCAGCTGAACTGGAGATCTGCTGTACCCTAAGCTGCCTATCCCAGGAGATTTTGTCATAGGCTTGCCTCCATAGTGCTCTTGTGCAGCAGCACGATCCTAACCACGTCTACTCAGAAGTCCTATTAAATTCAGTGGGGCTTTCTCGCAAGTGAGTGGGGTTAGATTTTAATACTTGCAGCTGTATCATTTGCTTCTTCCAATTATTTCTGACTAGAAAATTTGTTTCCAATATCTAAGCATATTATCTGTCATTTTAATCTCTCCTCAAAAATCACATGAAAAGGGTATTGGAACTGTTCCTTCTCTGTTATATAGCTTGCCAAATGCATTTTTATTTGGTCATATTTCTGTGGAATTTATGATATGGCCTATGCCACAATTAGCTGCTTGCAATCTGTTATTTTGCTTCAGTTGTCATGAATGGAGGCCAGGGGGAGAAATCTTAAGATTTTTAAGGATATCCACTTATTAATAATATTCTTCCTCTGGTATCATAATTAATTGTTATTTCAAATGGGACATTAGACAGAACTATGTCGTGCTAAAATGCATGAAGGACTGAGATAAATGATGGCATTACCCCAAAGTGGTAATTTTCTGACGTCAAGAGTTTGGAGAAATCCAACTGTTATCCATGGTTAACTATGTCAATTAATTTTAGTGGGTCTCCTCTGAGCGGAACTTTGAATAAAATCCTAAAACTCTTCGCACTGAGAGAGTTTATTATATTCAGTCCTGTGAGGCCCTGCCTTTGAAGAGAACTACCCATTTGCTATTTTCACCGAGTGACCTGGAACTGTCCAAATAGGCCATGCAAATGTGGTTGTGTCCTTATGCCCATCTTGAAGTCAGCTCTTATCCCTATATATTATAGGCAATGGTTACATGAGGAAGAAATTTTCCTTTCTTTCTTTTTTACCTCTGTAAACAAGGACAGCAATAGGAAAAGAGCAAATGAGGATTCGATAATCTTAAGGATTGGTAAGTGGCTGAATAATAGGAAGCAGAAAGTAGGAATAAAGAGGCAGTGTTCATAATGGAAGAAAGAAGCGGGGTCTCCCTGATCAGTGCTTTTTAACTTGTTTATTAATGGTCTGGAGACACAGGTGAGCCACGGCCAAGTGGAAAACACCCAATTATTCCGCGTGGTAAAAACAAAAATGGATTGCAAACGATTTTGTTTAGGCATGTCTATCCTGAAATGTATTATGTTGACACATTTTAATTTCTTTTTAGTTGACTGCTTTGTTTTTTAAATGTTTAACTGTTTTTAGTACTGTACTTATTTTACTACTTCTTCACACAGCACAGTTACACTGTAGCATTTACTTCCTCTTGATGGCTACAAACTTTTAAGTTTGGGAAGGGAAACTTAAACTTCCTGCTTGGCAGGGGGTTGGACTCGATGGCCCTTGTGGTCTCTTCCAACTCTATGATTCTATGATTCTATGATTCTAGGGGTGAGGCATTATTGCACTTGTGGGCTTCCCAAAGGCATCTAGTTGACCCCCATGAGGAAAAGGATGCTGGGGAGATCACTGGTCTGATTCACCAGGGTTTTTCATTGTGTGACATAAATTTGTCAGACATTTCCTTACTTGACCTCTAAGAGCTTGGACAGTAAGATCTGTTTGACAGAGGAACAGATCCCCTCGGGAGGAGGTGGACTCTCCTTCCTTGGAGGTTTCTAACCAGAGGTGGGAGAGCCACCTGCCATGATCTAGTGGAGATCCCTGTATTGCAGGAGGTTAGACTAGATGAAGCCTTGGGGTCCCTTCCAACTCTGCAATTCTATGAACCGGAGAGTTTGGCTTTCTTTGATTCCCCCACGCTATGTGCCGCACGCAGCAGCAGCTATTGTCAGGGGAAGAGTCAAGCTGACCTGATGATAAACATCAAGGAAAGCTGAACACAAAAGCCACCACCATAAAAACCAAGAGAAGGATCTTTACACTTGCGCGGTGGGGGAGGCGAAAGAGAGAGATATTAAAAGCAGCAGAACGTCGTTTATTATTGCGGCTGACTAAAGCTTCACAAAGAATGCATTATAAAAGACCGGCATTTCGGGTCCCTTCAGCCGGCCGCCGCCTTCTTCTTCTTCTTATGCCACGGCTTGTTGTGAGGAACCGACTTCCCCTCCCCTGCGGGGCGGCTTCCCTTCAACCCGCCATGATGCCCCAACGGGCGGGAAAACCGTCGCTTGCCGACTGTGACCCTGACAGACAGGAAAGCGGAGGGAAATGGTGCTTTGGAGGGAACACCGACAGGCCCCGCCGCCACCTCGGCTTCCTGCTCAGGCCAAGCGAGAGGCCTTTCCTCCGCGTTATGTAATAGGGAGGCGCCGCCATTGGCCCGGTCCGGGCGCAGCAGCCGCCGCCGCCGCCGCCGGATGAGGCGTTGGCGGGAGCGGCCTGGCCTGGCTTGGCCTGACTCTCGGCTCTCGGCGGCGGCGGGGAGGGGCGGCGCGTGCGCACTTCGCCGCCGCCGCCGCCGACGGACGGGCAGGGAGACGGACGGCGAGAGAGACTCCGTCCCTCACACACACACACACGGGCTCCTCCATCCTCACGGGCAGGCGGCGGCAGCTGCTGCTGCTGGGCCGCGCGGAGCCTTCCGTAGCTGTCGACGGACGCCTGGCAGGCGGGACCTCCACAGCCCGGGTAAACGCGGGGGGCGAGGGCAGGGGCTTGGGCGCTGCCGCCGCCAGGCCTCGGGGGCGAGGGAGAGAGGCCGGCAGCCTGTTCGGGGCGGGTTAAGTCTCTTCCACCCGAGCCGGGCGGCGGCCGGAGGCGTTTATTTGTCAGTCCCGTCCCCCCCTCTCGTGGGGAAGTTTCCCCGTCCCGGGTGGGGGGCTGAAAAAGGTAGAAGAGACCCCTCGTGTTTCTTGCGGGGCTGGACACATGGCCGCTTCTTTCACGGACGGGAAGTTTTTTTTGGGGGGGGAGGATTCGGGAACATTGTGGTTTCCTTATGGTTTTGCCCTGTGGTGGCATTTCCCATTTATTTGTTTCCCCCGCCTTTAAAAACCCCAAACACGTTTAGGGTGAGGGAAAGGTTTGGAGGGGGGTACTGTTAGGCCCCCGCCGGAAGGTGCTGGGTATGATGGGATTGGGTTGGTTTATTATATTTCTATGCCACTTTTCGTTCAAATGAATCCCAAAGCGGCTTATAAATAATAGTAACATAATGGAACACTACACATATAAATCATGTAGAATAATGGCTATGGGGGTTGACTGTCTGGGTTTGCCTGTTAGAAAGTTGCACTTTCTTACATAGTGCTGTGAGGTTTTTGAAATGGGCTTTTCCACCTTAAAAAAACCCCTGACCAGTTTTGCAGTGTTTCCTCTCTTTAGATGATCCCCGGCTTCCCCTAGTTATCCATGTAACAGGTTTACTGGCAGCACCAAATTCACCTTGAAAAGGTGAAGTTGGTAAATGATATGATGTTCGTCTTCATTGAAGTCATGATGATCTCTCTTGGAAATAAGTTTTTAGCCAGCTGTATCAAGGATAGCTGGACGGAGTGGGAAACCAGGCATGAAGGTGGTGAGCTCCCCCTTCCTTCCTCCAGTTAGGGTTCTTGCACTTGACTATGCAAAACAAGAGGATTTGTATTGCGTTGGCCACTCTTGGCCTCATACGCTTTCATGCCAAACACCATTCTTGGCACACTTTACTCTTTGTTGTTTCATTTCTTTCCTTGCCATCACATGTTGGAACTGAGTCTGCTGTTCACATCAACACTTGAAACAGCTTAAAATCAGGTTGGAATGCTGTCTCTACGTGTGTTCCTTGGTACAGTAAGGATTAAAAATTATATATCATAAGAGTTTGATTGAAGCTGAATGGTAAATTAATCTGCGTTGTGCTACGTGTGTAAAACGCAGCTGCTAGTGTCAGACCTGAGATATGAAACCTCATTACCATTTGTTACTTGGTCACATGCACTGGTTGTTTTCCGACTTGGACATTTCCTTCTAGAAAACAAGTTCTTATGCAAGTGATATGCTTGACAGCTTAATCAGAATCTTATTACTCTATTTTTGTTTCTTTACCTTTTTGTACATTCAGCTGCAAAGGCCTGTTCATTTTTTACCCTGGTTTGTCTGATTAAGTTAAGAAGTGGAAACAAGTCTGCAGTCTCATGAGTTTGGGAAAACTGCATGTTATATGCCCCGTACCCCAAATATAGGAATATTGATGAAGAAGGCATTTAATACTGATATTCCTGACATACACAGTTAGAAGGTTACCACAGCAAGATTAGATGCACATGTTTTGTTCTGGGAATCGGAATCTGGTTGAAAACAAGGAAGGATCTGATAACATATGTTGGCTGTGTGCAGTTCCAGAGGAGAAATTGCTGCCTGCTGTTATGACAGTGAAATTCTTTTAGGACTTAGCAGATTGGATATGGTTGAAGTCTCATGGGTGTGCCTTTACAATGAACATCCTGGCCAGCCTCCTTTTTAAATTCTCAGCTGTCCCAACCAAGATACCCATAAGTATACCCACCAAGGCATGACAAAACAGTTGCATGAGTTTTATTTGGGGAGGAAACCATCTTGGGAAATCAGCAACAAGTATGCAGACCAGTTGATCCCTACTTTATTAATCTTGCCAGGGTAATAACTTATTATTATGCATGCACCGTAAGTAAAATTACGTATGGTGTGGAGAAAGTGAATAGAAACTGTTCTTCTCTCATATTATTAATTACATTGCATTTATATCCTCCAAGGAACTCAAGGTGGTATAGATGGTTCTCTCTATTTTATCTTGTCGTTTGCCCTGTGAAGTAGCAATATAATACACACATATACACAACTATCCTTCACTAGCAGCAGTTCAGTATTAAAAACAATAATAACCAGCAACAGTGCAGACAAGGCTTGATGCAGAAGAAGTTTGTTCTTGTTTTTTGGAATTAGAAGCTCTAGAGATCTCACCAAAAAATATTTTTGATCATGTAGATAGCAGATGGGGGAGGAACCCATGTACAGTACAGTGGTACATCAGAAGTCGAACAGAATCCGTTCCGGAAGTCCGTTCAACTTCAAAACATTTGACCTCCAAAGCATCGCTTATGATTTCGGCTTCTGAAAGAATGTTCGAAAACCGGAACACTCACTTCCGGTTTTTGATTGTTCGGGAGCCATGGTACGACTGTATTAAAACATAGAAAATGTGAATATGTAAGGCAGAAGTTTCAGAACCATATTTGCAGTCTTAAAAAATAATCCCCGATGCTAATAAAATGAGAGAACTTTGCTGTTCAATTATAGTAAAACTCTTAAGCTTTTATCTGGTCACACTGGTTTTATGGATTCAGTGTATGTGGGTTCAGCATATGTGAGGTCATTCTCACTTCCCTGTCACTGTTCTCACTGGGCTGCTTTGGGAGGAAGGGAGGGATATAAATTGAATATATAATAATAAAGTTACCCATCTGTAGTCTGAGAATATGTGACCTTTTCTATAGAGCTGCTCTGTGGTCAGAACACACACATTGTACAGCAGAGGTAGCTAACCTGTGGGCCTCCAATTGCTGGATGACAACTCCTATCATCTCTGATGGTTGGTCATGCTGGGGGTGGTTCATAGGAGTTGGAGTATGACCCACATGAATATAGGTCTCTCTGCCTTTTCCTCATGAATCACTTTGCTGGCATGTGGATGGAATGCTCTGAGGAAAATGATACAGGAAGATAAACTGTGTTTGAGGAACTCAGAGACTTGGAAGGAGTATGTCTCCCTTTTTCTGCTGACCCAGTCACTGAAATTTGCAGGAGAGTTCTGTCTTGTTCTGAATTCAAGCCATCTTCAGTGTGGAGCAGTGGTGTTCAAACTTTTTTCAAAGAGGGCCAGATTTGATGAAGTGAAGGCTGTGAGGGCCAACCAAAGTTTTTGACCTTTTTTTAGGATTGAAGTTATTGAGGTTTTTTTAGGATTTTACCCCAGAAAATAAACTGACACAGAGTGGCCAGGTTAAGTCGACCGCCAGGCCGGATTATACCCCCAAAACAGACTTTGGACATGCCTGGTGTGCAGTTTTTGTCAGTAACTCAATACATGCTTATTCACCTGGGCTTTGGGGTTGTTTTGAAACTGGCCATTGTTACTTGATACTGCTCCTGTTATCAAAAGTTAATAATGGCTTTAGTGTACCATTTTCCTGTTTGCATGAACATCCCTTTATTCGGAACAGCCTTCTAAAAATCAGTCCCTTTAGCTTGGTATTGTCAGCACTGTTTGGCAGCAGCGGCTCTCCAGAGTTTGTGGAGACATCACAAGTTGAGTTTGGGATTTTTTGCATGCAAAACAGGCGTTCAACCTCTTGAGGTGCATATTTTGATAATGGCCAGTTTATACAGTCATACCTAGGGATAAATATGCTTCAGGATAAGTATTTTCGGGTTGTGCTCCACGGCGACCCGGAAGTAACGAAGTGTGTTACTTCCGGGTTGCGCCGCTCACGCATGCGCAGACGGTCAAAATGATGTCGTGCACATGCGCGGAAGCGACAAAACGCAACCCGCGGACATGCTGTTGCGTTTTACGTTCTGCTCAGGATGCGAACGGGGCTCTGGAACGGCTCCTGTTCGCATCCCGAGGTACCACTGTTTTTGGAATAAATAATAAACCTAGGAGCAAGCCCAAAAAAGTATAGGCTGTCATTCCATTGCAAATCTAATTCTATATCAGGAATAGGGAATCTGTAGCTCTCCAGATCTTGTTGAACTACAACTCTCATCGCCCCTGAACACTGGCATTGCTGACTGGGGCTGTTGGGAGTACAACAATATCAGGAGGAATGCAGGTTCTACGCCGCTGACTTTAAGAAAAATATCATGGCTGTGAACAGCATAGAATAAAATTATAGTCATAAAACAAATACAAAACATCACAAATCAAAATTAATATATCAACTTTACTGAATCACTACTTGGGGGAAGCCAGAGTGAACAGGTGAGCTGTAAGCAGGTGCCAACATGCCGGTACTCTAGGGGGCTGCCTGATAATCACTGGAAGCACAAGCCAAAGGGCAGGTGCCACCACACTAAAGCCAGACATAGCCTATCCTGGAGGATGCCATGGTCAGTGGTACAGAAACCTGCAGAGATCTCACTCTCCTTGTCTCTCTCAATTAAAGTAATCTATCAGGGTAACAGGCCAATTCGTCCCAAAACCATGCCTGAATTCAGACTGCAATGGTTCTAGATAATTGATCTCTTCCAAGAATGTCTCCTGTTGTTCTGCCACTACCCATGTCATCTTCATTTACAACTGGTTGGTAACTATCACAAACCATGGAGACCAGTGCGGACTTCTTTAGAGTGGCCATACCAGCTTCTTTTAATGCCAAAATTTATATACTGCTTGATTGTAAGAAAACCTCTAAGCGGTTTATAAGAAAATCTCTTACGTAGTTAATCAATGATAAAATATTTTCAATGTCTAAAAGGATACCCGATTTTAAAAGCATTTTTAATACAGCTGTATTTGAAAAGTACAATGACAAACAAAATCTTAAGAATATCCCTCATCTCTCTCTTTTATGTCTGTGCCATACGATCACAAAGTGTGTATTTTGCTTCAGAACTATTTGTACTTGACTTCAGACTATGCAAACTAATCAGCTAAAACTCATATGAGAAGTTGATTTTTTTTAAAAATTGGATGCTATGTATACTAAGCAGTCACGTGAGCCTCAGTAGGACGAAGAGAAGAGAAGAGTTTGGATTTGATAACCCGCCTTTCATTCCCCTTCAGGAGTCTCAAAGCGGCTAACATTCTCCTTTCCCTTCCTCCCCCACAACAAACACTCTGTGAGGTGAGTGGGGCTGAGAGACTTCAGAGAAGTGTGACTGGCCCAAGGTTACCCAGCAGCTGCATGTGGAGGAGCAGGGAAGCGAACCCGGTTCCCCAGATTACGTGACTACCGCTCTTAACCACTACACCACACTGGCATATCTTGTAAAAATTATGCAGTTATATGCAGCTTTCCATTTTGGGAGGTTTGTTTTGTGTTAGTATCACAACTTGATGATGCTTGCAGGGGAATAGTTAAAATTATCAAGCTGCTAGGACATACACACACACACACACCTTCAAGAGTACACTGGGATAACCTAGATGTCTTGGAGAAGTGTAGGCAGGCTCTGGTTGTCTGTCACTCTTCAGTCTTCTTGGTCTCTTGCAACAAAACACTGTAAATGCTCTGAAACAGCATATTGTGACAGACTCTAGCTTCATGTTACACACTTGCACAATGATACAAGGAGCAATCAGAAGTAAACCAGAACTGGGTGGAAATTATTCTGAGTTCATGTGTTACCTGGGGAATGAGCACTGGCTATAGTGTGGGAAAGAATTACTAGGTCACTTTTGATGGCAAACTTAGACATTAATGTAAATCTTGCTCAATCATAAAGCTCCCTTGATAATATAGGACCATAATGATACGCTCAACATAACCTACCCCATAGAGTTGTTTGAGGAATAAGAAGGGATAACATCATACCTGCTATCTATAAGTACTTGAAGAAAGGGTAGGGCACAAATCAAGAATATCTCTTGGTGTAAAATATAAAAAAGAAAGTTTCCCTGCTTTGTAAGCAAAGTGTCCTTGGTAAATGTGTTCGCTTCTCTGTTTGCCTTGTGATATGAATGTGGGTACAGAGACATGTATTTGTAAGGGAGAATTGGAGTATTTTTTTAAACATTCCTGACCATTTTAACCCATTGTTTCCAGTAGCATCTGGGGGGATTGATGGTGTAAGACATTTTTCTTAATAAGCACCCCCCCTTTTGTGTGTGTGGCTTTTTGTGGCTGGTCAGTTCTTGTCCCTTTATTTTCAACTACAGTAGTGAGTTCTGAAATACTATTATCCTAGCATAGCTGACAAATAACTTCATAGAGGCTAGAGTTCTCCCAAGTCTAGTTGGAGTAATAAAGGTGTTGAATTCCTTGTGTTCTGTGACTGATTTATATCCGTGTGAATGGAACAATGTGTACTTAATCTAAGAGTACCTTGAAACAGTATAGGGCTGTAATTGGGCTGTCACCAAATCATTGGCTGTCAGGAGCAGGGAAACGCACAGCAGTAATTATGTCAGGACACAGGATAGTTTTGTAATTTGACCCAGGACTACCAGTTTCAGTAGCAGCCATGTGTTTCTTCTCAAATATAGCACCACCTTCAATTGCTCTAACTAAATGGAGGGGTTTGAGCCTGAATTCTTTCCTCCAAATTCCTCCTCCTTGTAACAGAATAAATATTCTCTTAGTTGTAATCTGTGGAACCACTCTTGTCTCATTTATGGGAATAAATGATGGGGCACCTATGCTAGTTGTGAGAAAAGTACCTGGGCAAGTAATTACAAAAATATGCTTTTTCTAGATGGAGGCTGGCTCTTAAGAAGTGCTTAAATGCTATGGCCGCAATCCTAAACACAGTAGTGAGCAAATTATTTTAACTTGAAGCCATTTATTTCTGAGCAAATATGCCTTAGATTGCTCATACGGTTCAGTCTGCTATAATGCCTTTTGCACTTATTTTTAGATATGGCTCGTGGACAACAGAAGATCCAGTCACAGCAGAAGAATGCCAAAAAGCAAGCTGGAGCAAAGAAGAAACAAGGCCATGATCAGAAGGCTGCAGCTAAAGCTGCTCTAATATACACCTGCACCGTCTGTAGGGTAAGAGGCTTTGAAAATGAAGCATTGTGGCAATCTTTCCAGGCCCCAAGTTTGACTTGTATGGAAGAGACAAATAACATCTATGTGTGTTGTGTGCTACATATGCACTCTAGATAGGGAATTGATAATTTGACTCTGGATTCCCTATGCTCTTTTTCTTTCATATAATTCCCTAGAATTCTCTTCTCCATAGGCAGTACAGTGGTGCCCCGCAAGACGAATGCCTCGCAAGACGAAAAACTCGCTAGACGAAAGGGTTTTTCGTTTTTTGAGCTGCTTTGCAAGACGATTTTCCCTATGGGCTTGCTTCGCAAGACGGAAACATCTTGCAAGTTTGTTTCCTTTTTCTTAACACCGTTAATACAGTTGCGACTTGACTTCGAGGAGCAACTCATAGAACGCGGTGTGGTAGCCTTTTTGAGGTTTTTAAAGACTTTGGTGATTTTTGAAGCTTTTCCAAAACTTTCCCGACACCGTGCTTCGCAAGACGAAAAAAATCGCAAGACGACAAAACTCGCGGAACGAATTAATTTCGTCTTGCGAGGCACCACTGTACAGAAGAACCTACATAAAGTTTTAACACACCCTTTGCATTGTCACCGGCTATTATATCAACTTGTGCCTGTTTGTATGAGTTCAGTCTCCTACTACTGATTTCAGTTGTTGGGTATCCTGTGCTAGCAAGTCAAAAAGGTTACATGGTAAACACTTGAATCTTGTATCAGATGAAAGTGTATGTTATCGGTAGTGCCTATCATTTCTGCAACACTTGGGGAATTGCATGCGCTTTGCTTCGAAGAGTTGGAGGGTGTGACAGCATGCACATGCAGTGTAGTAAATCAGTAGGTTAAGAGGTGAGGGAGAAGGAAATGGGAACATCCTCACTTTGTGGGTTCCTGGGCAAGAGATTTCTGATTTTTATTTATTTATATGCTACCCAGCTAACAGTGTGTCCTCTGGGCAGTTTAACAACAGGCTTCCCTTCAGTGTGAGAGACTCAAGACAGCATACAGTTGAAAGCAGATATAATAACATAATTGATAAACAATAGCAATAAGTATCCTGCAGAACAGCGTATGATAAAAATGGGCAGGATGGACAAACAGATGTGTGCAACGAGGAGTAAAAAATGGAACAGGTACTGCTTGGATACGCAACTGAATAACAGTGCAGGACTTGGTGAAGCAGGGATTTTGGTCAAATACTGGGGGAGACTGCTTGTTACATAGGGACCTGCCTGTTTCTAGACAGTGTTTCTATACATTCCCAGTATTTGGTGAGTGTCTTGCTTGTAAGTTTAGCCTTATATTTAGGCACTAGTCTAGTAACCTTTGGTGACCAGGAGTTGCATGCTGATATGGGAGTGGGCTGGCAGGGGTGGTATGAATTCTCCCTCATCTGCACCTACTGTAAAACCCAGGTGAGCTGTTAGAGAAGGTGAGCCCCCTCCCGTATGCCCATCACCAAAAGTCGGCTCTTGATACCTCTCCCCTTTAATACCCAACAGGCTATTTTTAAAATGATGGCTCCCCATTTGTGGAATGCTCTCCCCAGGGAAGCTGTCCTGGCACCTTCATTACATATTTTTAGGCACAAAGGGAAAACATTGCTCTTCAACCAGGCTCTTTGCTGTTAAACAGTCTATGGCCTTTGAAATGTGTTGAGGGAGGGTTATTTTTTATTATTATATTATGCATGTTGTGTTTTTATATTGTAAACTGTCCTGTGATCTTCAGATGAAGGGCAGTATATAAATGTAATAAATAATTTGTACTTCCCAACAGGCAAAAAACTAAAGTTAAAACTGAATTCACTGGTTTCAGGAAGGAATACCCATGAAATACTAGCCAAATAGCAGGGAGGGAGGGAGCACAATTTTATGTACAATTTGTGAAAAGGGTAAGAATTGAGTAGGAATGAGTAGGTAGAACAAAGCAGGGAAGTTAGGAGGTGGCAAAGAATGAGGAACAGTCCCTCCCAAAATTTGGCTGCTCTTGAGCCAAAAACCCTAATGCAGTCCTTTAGGATTCAGTGAGAAGAAGCTGTATTTGAGTCTGTTTGGGATTTTGCCTTGCATAAAGCTCCATTCTCTCCTTAATCAGACACAGATGCCAGATCCCAAGACCTTCAAACAGCACTTTGAGAGCAAGCATCCGAAGACTCCGCTCCCTCCAGAACTGGCAGATGTTCAGGCGTAAAAGCTCACAGGTGAATGCTTAGTATTTAAGTTTTGAATTAAATAAATTTAGTATATATCATAAGTAAAACTGCATCAAATGGATTTCATTTACAATATAGGTTTTATGAAAATTGGGAGCTAACTTAAAGCATAAACGAGGATTTTGGTTTTGTTGCTTCTCATATTTAGAACTTTATTTTGATATAGCCAGGGCATTACGTAGCAACTTGGAGAGTTGCCAGAATTGGCAACAAGTCTGTGAGAAGATAAATGTGTGTAATCTTCTAATTTTGTTGTGTTTATCTGTTGCAAGGGTTCAGGGAGGTTCAGTTCATTTACTTATGAAATGACATTCGATTGAATCATTAGATGCTAGTAACTCGATGAGACAATAAGACTGTATTTAACAATATTACTCTTGTGTTGCAGGTGAATTCATGGAACCTATTGACTCTTCTACTGTCAGACATTGCATAACAAACCTGCAGCTGCTTTTCTAACAAACTGTTGATCAGCAAAAATGAAGGGGCTATAGAAACATTCATATTTTTATGCTGTTCCTCTTGGGCGTCATGTAAAGATGAATCTATGTAACTGTACAGTTGTGCCCTACTTGGAAATCTGGAAATTGGTTCATTCTTAAATTTTTTACAGTTGTAATTATATTGATGTTCATATTGTGTAAAATAACTCATTTAATAAAATAGTACTTTGATTTTACAATATCGCAGGTAAAATACTTGTAGAAGTTCTGTTTTCAATACCTGTTTTATTTGCCTTACGAAATCCTAACAAGTGGACTTCTCCCACAGCCAAAAACTAAATGGTGTCATTTGCTCTTTAACACTTATTACTGTTGAGTCCACATTAACTAGAAAATTCTTTCTCCATTCGGTATGCTACTTGCTTTGAGCCTGGTTATTTTCTAAAACACTTAATATCTTTGACCGAAGTAGTGTTTTCTTTCAACTCTGTTTAGTTTGGAGTGCCTGCTCTACTGACCCTTATGAAATTTCATTCTTGTATATAAATGAGCTTTTACCTTAAATTTATGCACTGGAGACAAGTGCAGTACCAGTGAATCCTCATGCTAGTTGGCAGGCTGGTGGAAGTATAGTAGAACTGAAGTTTTGTTTTGGTGTGATCTGAATGATCATATTCGCTATAGCAAGTTAAAATAATTTATCTCTGTTGTGAAGTTCCACTGTGGAAACTCTTAAATGCACCTATGAGAAGTCAGCCACACTGGCTACATTAGTGTGTAAAAAATGACTACTGTAACGGTTTCCTTGTTTGAAAGCAAATGTTAAATAAATCTGTTTCAAAGAACAGGATGGCACACAAAATGGAGATAATAACTAACGAAATGGAAATAATAACTAGCTGAGCTTTGATTAGTTGGAACTGATGAATGGTAGCAGGATAGGTGTTACTTTTTTTCCTATCTTGCAGCATTGGTTTATGTCTGGACTATCCAAATTTCATTTTGAACTAGATTCTAATGTCAGATGCATAGTGCCCATGTTTTGGAGCTCTGTCTTACTTGCTTTTTACTGGAAAGAACTGCAAATCCATTTTATGTTGGAAGCAGATGACTGACATGGGCATTATTGCTTTCCCATTGATTGGATATTTGGAAGGAAATATTGACCAACTTCTCTTTGCTTTGTGCCTGGGTCATTTAATCTTTTAAACAGTTAATTCTTTACTTAAGCATGCCCATGCAGGTTGCACATTTGATACGGAAAGGTAAATAGCAGTTTGTGCATTTGTTAACCCGTCTGATCTATGCCATTTAAGTTCATCTGCCTTTACTATAGTCATTCTGGAATGAATCTTCACAGTTTTGTAGCTGTCATTGCATTGTACCCCTGACATTAGAATGTAGCCTTTTGGTTCGTTTTGTTTCCTCACTTGATAATTACAGCCTGTTCATCATATGATAGCTAGGTCCCAGTAGGCAAGAAATCTGCCTTCCAAACTGCTGTGGTATGCTTAAATGTTGAAACTGAGTGCTTTTTAAACTGAAAGACACTTGTTCACTAATTTTTACTTTTAGTAGACTGTTTTGGGGTGGGGGGTTAAAAAAAACACCACCTTTAAATAAGTTCATTGCTAAAGCTGATACTTGTCATGTATTATTTCAGACCTCAGAGCAGTAAATAAAAGAGGGTTTTCTTCTAAATTATTTGGGAACAATTAAGCATAAGTTTCCTACTAGCTGTAGGACAACTGAACCATTTATATGCAGAATTTGCATTTTTTTTAAAAAATGGTTGTCATCAGTAGCATTGTGTTTATGCACTGAGCAAGTTAGATCTTGATTTTGTACACTATACTAATGCTGTTACCAGCAGATAATTTGTTTTCTAATCAGTTAAAAGCCACCACAGAATCTTGGAAGGTCAACACACATGGGAGCTAACATGCGGGGTGGGGGGAGAGAAAACTGAGGTGGTAGGAACCTTGAATTCTCTGTGCTGAGTTAAAGAGATGGGGATAAATGTGGAAAAAAATATTCTTTCCAAATCTTGTGGATGGTACCCTGTTAATCCTGGATAAAGACACAATTGTGCAGTGTAATGTGTCTGATTAAAATCTTTTAAAAAGCAAAAGTGTAAAATGTGATATTTCCTGCCTACTTAAAGCAAGTGTCATTTTATTAAAGCTTTGATGCTAGCTGGGCAGCTTTAGCAATTTGTTTAGTACAGGGAATGGAAATGACAGCAAGCATTTCACTCAACTCTCTTAAGCACGAATAACTTGGATTTGGAAGCACCAAGATAAGGTAAAGTAGCATCGCAGCAAAAGTCCTGGTGAATTGCCAAAAGTGCTTGGCTGTAATGAACAGATGTTTGTCTATTGGTTAAGTCATACTTGAAATAAACACGATACAGGGTTGTATCCAGCACTGCCATTATGCTTATGCAGTAGACTACTGCACGCACTATGGAACTTCCCTCTCCTCTGCCATACAATCCCCTGCACACCCCCAAAATCTGTTCTAGAAGTTTTGGGGACCCTATGGTACAGATTTGCAGGGTACGTAGAGAGGAGAAGAGCAGATTCCATTGCACAAGGTCACTCTATGCATGTAGCACTTGAGGCAAACCCATAATCTTGGGGGAAATGTGCTATTGCCGTCACTCAGTCACATCATACAAAATTGCTCATAGTCATACCAAAGTTTCCAGCACTATATGCATGTAGATTTGCTGAAACAGCATTCTCTTGTGAAAGAGTGTGAATACCTAGTCTCTGGAATGCTGCCTAACCTTGAACTCTGGGCATTAGCAAGAACCCTTGTGAAACTTACATGTATAGTGTCAAATACTACACTGTCAGGCAGGTTTTGTCTCTTAACAGGCCAGCTGAGCTTTATAGGTCATATCATAGAATCATAGAATCATAGAATCATAGAGTTGGAAGAGACCACAAGGGCCATCGAGTCCAACCCCCTGCCAAGCAGGAAACACCATCAGAGCACTCCTGACATATGGTTGTCAAGCCTCTGCTTAAAGACCTCCAAAGAAGGAGACTCAAGTACTGGGTTCTTTCTTCACTCCAGCTACGTGCTATCTAGGTTCTTTTTTGCCTTGCTAGGAGAACAGTACAGCTGCAGCACTCAGATGAAATTGCATGTCTCGCTGCAGAGATCTTCAGGGGATGACTACACAGCATGCTTGGAAGATACAGACTTAATGCACTCATTCATTGGGTGGCTCAAGTTACTCTGGTAGCGATTTGCACATCAACCAGGTTATGACTTCCTTAATGCACGACAGTTTATAACATTTGCAAAGGTAAAATCTAACATCTATATTCTTCAAAAGGGCTGAAAGCTGCCAGGTGTTGGAATATATTTTGGAGGACTGTTGCAAAGTTGATAGAGCTCATTGTTTTCTGTTGCTCTGGAGGGGAGAATTTGAACCAACGACTTCAAATTACGAGGAGTCGAGTCTGGATTAAATCAGTGGATGAGGACTGGCGGCCTTGAGGGCTGTATGTTGCACAGGCACACTATCACAATAAATATTAGGAAGAGCCTCCTGATGGTACAGATGGTTAAAACGGTGGAACAGACTGCTTTGGGAGATGGTGGGCTCTCCTCCATGACAAGTCCTTAAGCGAAGAGGCTGGGTTTAACCAGAGGAAGCAGTGATGGCCACCAACCTAGATGGCTTTAAAAGAGGATTCAATAAATGAATAGAGGATTATCAAGGGCTACTAGCCATGATGGCTCTGCTGCACCTCTGCTACTGGTGGGAGTAATGCTCTTGAATACCAGTTGCTGGAAGCCACAAGATGGGCAGGGGGTTCTTGTGTTCACATTCTGCTTGCAGGATTCCCACAGGCACCTGATAGGCCTCTAAGAGCAGAATGTTGACATCCTTATTGGGGATGCCACCTCTTGGAACTGCTATAGGAGTGGAGTGCATGTGGTTGGAAGGATCAGGTGTTCCCCAAATGGTCTCTGGACTTCTTGTGGTCCATGAGTTTTATTCAGATAGTCTGCAGCATGTCATTATTAAATATTCATAAAGATTTTTTTAAAACTGTTTTTGCTGTTTTTTATTTCTTATATTGTTTTTGTATTGCAATGCAACTTGAATTCTATGAAATAAAATAAAACATAAAAGACAGTAAGGAAAAAAGCATATTTTCAGACAGCATATTGCACTGCACATTATAGTTGCTACAACAGGCAGGAAAATCAGGAGGGGAAAGTGGGAATCACTGGACTGGGCAGACTTTGAGGTTCCTTGGAATTCTATGTAAAACCTCCACTGTTTAAACTGTGGTTTAAACCCTGTAGCATCAGTTTGAGAGTCCATCTAGTCCAGGATTATATTTAAAGAAGATGTCTTCAGCAAGCACATAAACAGCTTATGAAGGCTGCTCTCCCGGCCCAAGAGCACATGGTATTCAGAGATAGACTGGTTCTGACCTTGAAGAACTTCCATTAGCTCGATAAAGATGTTTTTCTAAGACTGCTTCACAGGGTTTGTATTTGTAACTTACTGTATGATTGGATCATGTATGCATAATACACAGAAAATTCTGGCAAACATAATTGGGGGTCACAGCAATTTCATAAAGCAGCTGACTATCATGGCGCAATAAGGGATAGCACTCAGATTAGTGTTCTGTTTTCCAGGAGTGAATAGTGCGTCCAATAATGTATGCCACGAATAAACAGAACTGCTGTTCCAAGTGTCATCTGACCACTCCACAATATGTAACCAATTTTTTGTGATTATGATAATTGCACACCCAAGACTTAAGATTTTGCTGACGTAAGCAGTTTCAGCTTGGAAGATTTCTGTGTTGCTGTATTCTGTGCATCCTAACTAAATTGGATTGTATTTGGTTGTTTTCTTAATGTTCTGTATTGAAGTTATAAAAATTAATCTGGTTACTTGCTTTCAGAGCACGTTAATGGTATGATGTAAGGAAATTTCCCATTAGATAGCCTGAAATAGTCATTTCTAGAAGGGGTCAGCATATAACACTGTCACTGTCCCCTGTTGGGTGTGAACATTTCCCCCATGCCTCACCCAGAGTTCCTTTTGTATTGTTTAATATAAATGCATGTAGAGTCTTGCAATGCTAACACTCCTACATGAGACCCTTCCCTCATTCAGTCAGCTGCTTCCTCTCCTGCAGGTGTGTTGCCAGGTACTTAAAGGGCACCAAGCGCCACTATCATTCTATCACTGCATTCAGCAGAGATCAGGTCCTCTCACCATGGAGCCGAATGCAAGCCCTGCTTGCCAAGGAACAACCGAGAGTGCCTTTTAAGGTTCCTGGTTGTTCCTCTGCAGCTGCATCTTTGCCTGTGCCACACCTGATGCCAGGTTGGCATATGAGGTCAGGTGCAGGTGGCTTGGGAAAAACAGCCCTAGCAGTCCCAATTAGGATCCCTGGTGGAGGTTCTCCACTGCTGCTGCTGTATGTAAATTTTATGAAATAAATACAAATACACTGGCATTCAGAGGCATATAGCACCTCTGACCTTAGAGGCAGCCTATTCAGCCATCATGAGGACTAGCAGCCGTGCCCTTCATTCATTTATCTAATCCCCTTCCCAAGGTGTTTAAGCTTTTGCAAGGGGATGCCATCACTTCCTTATGCACTTGTGCGAAGAAGCGTGAAGAAGTGCTATCTTTTGTCTGGGAGCCAGTGTGGTGTAGTGGTTAAGAGCGGTGGACTCATAATCTGGTGAACCGGGTTCGCGTCCCCGCTCCTCCACATGCAGCTGCTGGGTGACCTTGGGCTAGTCACACTTCTCTGAAGTCTCTCAGCCCCACTCACCTCACAGAGTGTTTGTTGTGGGGGAGGAAGGGAAAGGAGAATGTTAGCTGCTTTGAGACTCCTTCAGGTAGTGATAAAGCGGGATATCAAATCCAAACTTCTTCTTCTTCTGTTCTAAACAGTTTCATGGGATGACTCCAGATTCTGGTATTATGAAAAGAGGAAAGTCTTATTTTCTCCACATCGTACTTAATTCTGTATCCCTCTAACTTGTCTCACCTTGCCTCATTTCTAAACTACAAAGCCCCAAATATAACCTTTCCTCTTACTTAAGATGCTCCAGTCCTGTGATCATTTTGCTTGTCTGTTCCTGCATCCTTTCTCTTTTCTTTTTGTACAGCTCTACAATATATCTCAAGGTAGAGCTATAAATCTTCCTCCTTATTGCCATAAAGCTCCCAGTCGCCTTCCTACCTACTGTTGATTCTTTTGTTAACCTCAAAGTGCTAAATCAGTATACAAAGTATTTTTAACATGGAAAGTGACCTTAAGATTTCGGAATTAGAATTGCTTTTCTTTTCCCATCCTGGTTGCGATGGAGGTACATATTTGAATTAAAGGAAAGGGAATAGCCTCAGCCAGACTGTACCCTTTTCAGTGAGATGGAATGAAACACCCTGCAGTGAACAGGTAGGGAACCAAAGTTTAATGAAACAAACTGTAGGCATGAAAGTACATTCCGATCTGTAGTTCAAAGAGCCAATGCAGATTCCTAATAGCATCTTCTTACATCACTTTCCCACTTTATCCTTGCCAGGAAGTGGGATCATAAATCTGTCTAATGCCATAGTTCTGCTAACACCTCACATGCTTGGAAGAATTCATATGATCTGTCCCAAAAAAAATCTATTTCTTCCAGTTTTAAAACAAATCTTATTGCATGCTCTAAATATCATGTTGAATAAAAATTATGCAAAAACAAAAACTAAAACACCTCCTGTGCCAAATATTCCAGAATATTTAATGATAATGAAAGTTGTACCTGTTGACAGGTACAGGTTTAAACTCTGGTTTTAACTTTGATTTATATCAAATCTGGATTAAACTTCAACTTGCCTGGGAATGGGAATTCTCCCCTATGCTTTGTCAAGGATGGTAATAGTCATTTACTGTCTTCTGAAGGATGACTGCTTGGGTGTGTGGCTTGGACAGGTAGAAACCCGTGTCGTAATCCTTTTCCTCTCAGGCTCTGCCTTCCTGTGCCAGTATTGCAGCAGGTGGCCCTAGATTCCTTCGTTAATGGGAGATCTGACTTTGAGTCATTCTGAGATCTCAGGCCTCTCGCCCAATAAACACATTGCTCATCACCATCATTTCACCAGTAGTCTTGCTGCTGTGCAGTCTAAGGCAGAGTGAGCCTTGGGCTCCAGCCATCAGATGGGTGATTAAAGAGAGACCAGCCCCCTCCAGAACTAGCCCCCGGATGCTTTTGAGCGCTCACTAGCAGGTCGGAAAAGCCAAGAGTCCTTTCCTAAAACCACCCTGTACTCAGAGGTATTGCACCCCTGAATGTGGAAATTCCAGGTAAGTCCCCTTCAGACGTTCTGACTGAGCTAGAGGCCGACTATCTGAAGCAAGAAGCGCCCTGTATTTCTGGGAGCTCCTGTGCAGTAGCTGGAGCGTCAGGATTCCCAAATGCACAGGAAGCTTCCATGAATACAGAAAGCTCCTTGCTCCACCCAGACGGCCTCTTGAGTCATGGAGGGAAGGGGATTGGCTCCACTGGCGTGTTTGCACCAAGCCAGCCTCACCTCACTGCTCATCCTGTATGCAGCAGCAACTTGGCCAGCAGGAGGTTAGGAAGGGCACAGCTCCACTGGGCCATCTGCTATTGTCAAATTGCTAATAAATGAATGGGCATACCTGGGTGTAAATATACAAGACGAGAAGGTACAGGAAACATCACAGGGCTTGCTTATGTATGGAGCTTAAGCTAGGCCTAGACCAGGGTCTCCCAAACTTGGGTCTCCAGCTGTTTTGGGACTACAATTCCCATCATCCCTGGCCACTGGTCCTGCTAGCTAGGGATGATGGGAGTTGTAGTCCAAAAACAGGTGGAGACACAAGTTTGGGAAACACTGTTCTAGACCGACCTTTCACAACTTGGTGCCCTCAAGGTATTTTGGACGTCAGCTCCTGTTAGCTGCAGCCCAGCACAGGCCATAAGCTGGTCTAGACAAACAGCACATGGTGAAATATTACCAGACTGAAGCTCTAGATGAAGCAACAGCAACAAAACTCTTTAGAAGGTTAGGGCAAAGTGTTGTTGTCTTTTGGCCTCCCTGGTATACTGGTTTTCCAGATCGATGAATGTTGTTGTGCATAACCCACCCACCCCATTCCCTTGAAGTCTGAAGTAGTACGGTTCAACCACAGTTTGATCTCTTTGCCCAGAAAGAGTCCTGAACTGACGTTTGGGCACAAGGTTCTGCCCCGACCAGAAGTGTGGATAGGGAGAATGGTTCAAAACAGTGCCAAAGAGAAGTTGTCTTGGTTAGGAAGAAGTCCAGCAGCCATAGGAGCCAATTCCTAGGGACCAAGATCCCTTTGGCCCTCTCAATAAAATATTTGAGGAGGCCAGGCCCCTCCATATTTGATGGGCATTGCCATTCAGTGGTGTAAATGTGCCACATCATGTGACTGATTATGAGTGGCAGGGCTTACCTCCCCGCCCTCCAATATTTTATTCAAGTTGGCACCTCTGCCAGGAGCCTGGGTCAAAGGTTTCCTGAGCCCAGTTCCAAGGCTCAGACTCCACCATGATGGCTACATGCTACCTTCAGAAGCTGGGGCGACATGTCTCGGGAACAGAGTCTTATCCTGCCTTCAGGCTTCCTTGAGACATCTGGCTACTGGCCACTGAAAATAAAGGGATGTTGAACTAACAAGATCCAGCAAGGCTCTTCTTTCAAGCTGCATGTAACAATTCATTCCTCTACTCTAACTAAAATAAAACATTGGCTGCCAGCATCTGTACTTATACCTATCCTTATTTCTATCCTGTTGCTTACAGCTGATTGGAACCCTCAGTGCTACTCAGTGGCATCCTGAGATGCAGTTTTCAAAATATTTCCTTCCAAATGTATTATGTTCCTTTCAATTGCTTGCTCTTGGTATGTTATTTTCATTCCTTAACTTCAAATTACAGTCTTCAGGGAGGCAAAATATTGTGCTAATGGAATACAGGGGGATATCTGAAAATGAATGGAAAAGGTATCATATTTCAGCTCTCATTTATGCGTCCACCCAACCTCGTTTATGCGCTGCAACCCATACCTGTGATCTAGGTCTTTAAGGACTTATTCCATTGTGTTAGACTTGAATTGCGGTGATGTTTAGTGGAATGGCTCTGATCTGCGAGAATAAGCAGGAACGTGAGAAATTGTTTTATACCAACTCAGGCCATTGGTCCATCTACCTTGTTGTCTAGACCAGGGTCTTCCAAACTTGGGTCTCCAGCTGTTTTTGGACTACAACTCCTATCATCACTAGCTAGCAGGACCAGTGGTCAGGGATGATAGGAACTATAGTCCAAAAACAGCTGGAGACCCAAGTTTGGGGAACCCCGGTGTAGAGTGACCAAATGCATCTCTTCAGAGTTTCAGACCGAAGTCTTTCCTGCCCAACCGGTTGATACCAAGTATGGTGTCTTATCCTGTGGTTCGTTCCAACTTCACCACTATCTTGGAGCTGTCTGGTAGACCTAAATCCCAGACTTGCCTGTTAAACCAAAAGGTTTATGTTTTGACACGGCGATACCTCCAACTCTTTAATCAGGCAAACTTGAAGTTGGAAATAGGAAACTCAGTGGAAAAAAGGTAAGGAAGGAATATCCTCATTATTAAGAAAGCACACTCTATTCTGAAGGGCAAGAATTCACGTGCAACATACCTTATGCCTATTATGTGCCTAATTTAGTAAACCAAAGAAGTGTTGCAACTTATTTTCCTAACCAGGCTCTCGTGCATCTTTAATGGGGTTGACAACATTTACTTCTTGCTGCTGCTTCTCTGCCTATAACAAATTGCTCATTAGGTGACATTAACACAGAGTCCTGTTGATTCCCATAATGTACACATTGTGATTTCTACACATTGTGTGAT